CAGCAGCGAAGAAACAGTAAAGCATAGAAGCGACGAAGCAGAGAGGTGGCATTGTCATTTCGTGTGGAAAAACAATTGAAAATTTGTGTGGTTATCGGATATAAATAAATTGCCTTTATGATTTTTTATGCCACATTTTCTGCAATGTTGACTGCGGCATTATTGTCGCGCTGTTGTTGTTGTTGTCGTTGTTTCTCTTCTTGTTTAAAATAAAAAAAAATAAAAAAATTTTGTTATCGTCTCATATATAATATAAGCAAAAGTAAGTAGAATGTCTGAGTGTGTGTATGTGCGTCGTCTGCCGCCAACGCTGTTGGCGCATCATTTGAATATTTCAAGCACTCACGTGCCGTTAGAGCATTTTATTTCGCTTCGAAGCTGCTTCTTACATTATTACAACACCGATATGCCGTATAGCTTGCATACAGGCTTATGTATAATGTATGTACAATATATGTACAAGGCTTAGTAACTAATATGTATGAGTAAGTTTATATAAGAAGATCGTACATGCCACTGGTGCATCCAGAGATCAGTTGAACGAGGTAACTTTGCTTAGAAAGTATGTTATTTCAATTTGGAAATCTTACCATTTGTAGAAGACCTCTATGCAGTCGAAAGCAACTTTTCCCTTTCTTTCTTTTTCGAATCATAAATTAAGTAAGCTTTCTACACGAGCCAAAAGTGAAAATAGAAGAAGGCCGTAGTGACATCCGCAATAGCTTTAGTTGCAACAAAATTGGTCTTAACAAGACCGCGAGCCGAGATTTCGACGAAAATTTTTTAAGATAGAATTTTTTTTCATTGAGCCACGATTTCGGCGAAAGTGTTTTAAGAGGTGGATTTTACGAAGTTCTTTTATGTAAAGTTAGGTTAAATTATATAGTTTAAATTATATATATTTATAGTGAGTTATGTTATGTTATGTGAAGTTTTGTTAAGTTTTTTTGTAATATGTTATGTAGGTTATGTTATGTTAAATTAAGTTTTTTTTTGGTTGGGTAATGTTATGTTATGTTAAGTTAAGTTGTGTTATGTAAAGTTATGTTAAGTTTTTCTATGTTTAGTTAAGTTATGTTTTGCTTTGCTTAGTTAAGTTTGGTTAAGTTATTTTAAGTTTTGTTATGTTAAGTTAAGTTCAGTTAAGTTAAGTTAAATTATATTATGCTATGTTTTGTTAAGTTATGTTTTATAATATTATCTAGTACCATGATGTGTCATACTTTTTTTCCTAGCTTTTACTATACTCGTATTTTTTGTTACTTAACAAAGGCTTACGCTTTATATCTAATCTATCCTTCTATTTTTGGTAGACTTTGATTTTTTTGCTTTGTTTTCAACGAACTTTTGAATTATTAGCGCGCTAAATACATGAATTATCCTTATGTATGCTATAATATGCTACATCATGTTATGTGGAATGCTATGTTTCCTTAAACTAGGTTTTATTATGCTACTTTACGTTATGGTATTTTAAGTTATGCTGTATTTCATTATGCAATGTTTATTTTACGTGGCATTATGTTGGCTTATGTTACGCTACGATACGTTACGTTATGTTGTGTTATGGTTTGTTCTCTTATGTGATTTTATACTACAAAGCTGTTATGTAACATTACACATTACGTCATAATATGTTATATTACGTTATGTCATGCTAAGTTAAGTTATGTTATGTTACGCGAAATTTAGTTGTGTTACTTGTTTGCTGTTAAGCATTTAATTTAAAAACACTCGACATATTTTTGTACAGCGATCCAGCTTATTCACTCTGCTTCTTCCTTTTGCTATATATATTTGTATAATTAAAACAATATGTGGAACAATTTTTCATCCAAAAATTCATAGCGTGAAATTAGTCGCCACAATATTTGTGTCTAATGTGCAGTGCAGACACTGGTGAAAATATTAATATTTTTATACTCTTGCAACATGTTGCTATAGAGTATAATAGGTTGTTTATACCACCTAAAACTAATCGAGATAGATATAGGGTTATGTATATATAAATGATCAGGATGATGAGACGAGTTGAAATCAGTGTGACTGACTCTTCGTCCGTCCGTATGTCCGTGCAAGCGATAAATTGAGTAAAAATTGAGATTTCTTGATGAAATTAGTTTACACGTTCCTTGCCGAAAAGTGAGGACGAGTCCGTAGATGAGCGTAATCGTAGCTAGGGACACCTGTGGGCTAAAAATTTTTTCAAAGTGGGCTTGACTCCGCCACCGAAAGGTTTTAATGTACATATGTATTACATATATGTTGAAAACTACTTAAAGTACGATTACTCACTAAATATATGCATTAAATTTCAAACCCTAGATGGTAGAGAAGGGCTTTATAGGATCTGATTTCAACAAAATTTGGTGTGTGATATTACTCAAACATTTCTATTATACACTGCAAAAAAGAGTAAAATCGGATGACAACCACGCCTAATTCTAATATAACAAACTTTCAAAATCGTTTGATTCTTTCACTTTACAGTACACAAATCAAACAACAAAAAAGTTATCAGAATTAAACTCCGCAGAAATAGTGCCCTCAAAGTATTTCATCCTACGTTCAAAATTGTCGGAATCGTACCATAACTTGCGCCAAAAATGGGTAAAAGTAGGTCAACATTTACCTTAGCTGCTATATACCTAACATAAATATTTTCGAACCTCCGCTTCACTTTATACCGCATCTTAATATGTAAGAAGTCTTAATGAAATCGAGAAAGAATCATTTTCTAATCACCGTCTAGTTTAATATAAAAAGTTTTGCCAAAACCTCAAGGTGCTCCTCCGCCTTTTTTCCTTGCAAGTTGCAAGAGTATGAAATGTTCGGTTACACCCGAACTTAGCACTTTCTTACTTGTTTTTTATTATTTTTTATTTATTTGTTTTTCGTACTTCACTGTTTTTCTGCATGAAATGCTTCGAATTGCTTTCGCTGCCAACAGAATTTAAGTGTTTTCCAGTCATTGTTGTTGTTATTTTTTGTTCGGTAAGTAGTATATTTGTGCGAGCTGCTTTGCCTTTATTACTTAGTAGCGTGTCAGTGGCGGGCGCTGATTTGAAATTGGTTTTTGGAAATTTAGTTCAGCGACAGCTCAGACAAAAGTCGGTCAATAGCGTTGGCGTAAAAGTATCAAGGCAAATGAAAAGTGAAAACAAAATGGGTGGACTAAGATTCATGCACTTTTGTTCTCACCGGCTTTAGACGGTCGTAAACGTAGAAGGTGTAGCACGTTGTCACACACTCGTTTGTGTAGCAGTACTTTTTCGCAATATCTTATGTATATGGATATATGTATATCTAAGATGATAAGCGCTTTAAAGCCCTCGAATATATTTATGCAAATATATGGACTCACAAATATATATTCATACGAGTACATATATATTTTAAGTATTGGCTGTCATTTACTGTTGTAATGGGTAATCATTATAGCAACTAACATTTGCACATAATTTATTTTGCTTTTATGATCGCCTGGGACAAGCGCTCCACTTTGCCATAAACAAGGCAATAAAAGTTGTAAGTGTGTGTGCGTGTGTTTGTTAGCTGATGAGTTTGAGTAGCGCTTGTTGACATGAATCGCAGCGAAAATAGGGCAATTGCTTGCTTCATTTCACGGCGTTGGAGCAGTATGCAGCGCATAAGGTGTCAACGCCTTGAAGTATGCTTGGAAGTTGTTACAATATTTTGCAGCTTATAGTATATCGATATTTTTTAATGCATATAGTATTATACAAGATAAATACATATGCGAGTTGTTGACACATATTTCAAAGAAAAATTTGTTAGCTTAAACCACTCCAAATATATATGCTATATATTTATATTACTGAAACCAAATCAAATGAAATATTAAACTGCGCAAAAACACTGTATTGTCGATAAAGCATAATTTCAATTTCCTCAAAATAAATATTTTCTACTTGTTATCTATTTTAATACAATTAAAATGCTGAAAAGCCCGATTTAAAATTTATCAACTGACAATCAATTAAAAACAATTTGCTTTACTGACTGATGTGTGCTAATTGCAACACAAATTTTCAACAAGTTCTACTTTTTCTTACATTCGTTAGTGCATGATTTATTATATAAAAAACTGCATGTAAATGTTGAAAAGTAAACTAAAAATTATGGAATAATATGAATTTTCAAAGCTGTGTATATTAAAAATCACCAATTTCCATGAAATAACTTTTTGAAGTTTTTAATTTTTTTATTGCTGGATTTTTGTTTAACCAGCGGTAGTTAGGGTGTGATACGCCGAATATTATAATTAAAGAAGAATCAGTTGTTATATGCATTACTCCGGTAACACCGTTTCAAAGTAGAGATCTGGAAACAATAGAACTTTTGTCGAAATCTCGGTTTTATTTTCTCCAAGAAAAAATTACCTCATTATGTGGCAACATTATATACACCGTGTACAACTTTTTTTCTTGCTCACTTTGTTTTCAGCGAACTGTTGAATTACTTATATGCTTTGTACATACATTAAATTTTCATTATGTACTCAGGTATATTATTTTATGTTACGTCATGTTATGTTAAATTATGTTAATGTATGATATAATATGATACATAATGTTGATATACATATCTCATGTTACATTCTGTTACGTTATGTTATGTTGTGTTATATTATGTTATTTTCTGATGTGTTATGTTATGGTATATTATCTTATGTTTTATTATGCCATGTTATGTTTTCTATTATTATGTTATGCTACGTTACGTTATGTTATGTCATATTTTGTATGTAATAGGGCAGTGTAAATACAACATTTTTGTGAGAAAAGAAGACGGTGTTCGTTGCTATTCATAATACCAAAGAATTTATAGTTACATTGTATGAGTCGCATATTTACTGACAACAACCCTTCAAACTGTCTAACTTGTTAAACATATTTGGTTTATTAGCTCTTAATAAATACATGCATAATATTTTGTATCCGACTAATATCAAATATCTTTTATCATTTTCATTTCAGTTTTTCAACATTCAATGAGTATTGTAAAACGTTTCAAGTCCGGAATTATCTTGGTATGTATTGTACAACTGAAGAAACTGTAATTATTTTCCATTTTCTATTTTTATGTGGTGTTTTTGAAACACACTACTTTTGTTTGTCCCTCATTACTGTGTTTATAGCCTAACGCTTTGACACCGAAAACCAATAAACATTTTGAAACCGGGAAGGTTCTTTTATTTCCCATAACTTGGTTTACGTCCAATAAAACTAAAACGTGTCAAATTTAAGGGGTGATAACTACTTGTGAATTTCAAAAAATGTTTGAATATACATACATACAATATATGAAATGTTCATATATTTGGGAATATTCTCCAAAAATCTGAAGTAGATCCGGCAAACAGTTTCGTAGATATGAGTGAATTTGCAAAATTTTTTTAATTTGGTGTAATCGGCTCCCGAAAACCTTAAACGCGTTACTCTCGCAACGCTGTTTCCGGAGTCGGTGAGAAAAATTTTTGCAAAATGGCTGCACCGATCGATTGAAATTTTTAAACGATCATCTTCGATATATATGTCAGATAATGATCGAAAAAATACAATAAAAATTATACTGATAATTTCGATTTTTTGAACTACTTTGAAGAGTGAATTTTTTTTCAAAAGCCGATTTTTTTTGAAAATTCGGGATTTTTTCAAATATCAAAATTTTTACTAGTCCTTCGCTTATTATCTGTATTGTTCTATAGTTATGATACTAGTTTTGGTTGCTATTTGGATTTGGGATAATTTTAAGCAGAATAATCTTTTTCTCCCCCAAACACATTTTCCTGGAGATCAGCTACGGTAATAAGGGAATCCAAAATGATTCACAATGCATAGGAGATTATTAGAGTACAATAATTTCAATCAATGTACATTATTTCTATTTATTTATTAAGTAAGATGCTTACTCAAAACAAATCCACAAAAATACGGTTCTTTTTCACTTGCAAGTAAAGAGAACCCTTGAGGGGGGAGTAGGGTTTTAATTTATTTTTTAAATTTATTTTTTATTTCAAATGAATGCAAACAAGTTTCAAGAATGCTGTGTCTAAATTTCAAGTCGGTCGGTGCGAAGTTATGAGTATTTTTATAACTGTCTTATAACCTGTTTTATGAACGCTGTACTTCATACTTTTTTGTGTTCAGAACTTTAAAGCGTTTTCTCTACGACTGAAATTTTCAAATTACGGAAAGCTGTAACTTGATACAAAGAGCTATCTGCTAACAAAATTTTACACCGTTTATACCAAAAGCTCGCTTTATTTGATTTTGGTATAAACTTTCTCCATTCAGTGTTGATATATTTATCACTCAAGTTAATACAGTCAATTTGATTTATGGTAGACTTGAAGGTATGTTTGCCAGATTTTTGTTCGATTCGCCACTTCTCAAGTTTTAGTAAATTATTATATATTATCGAAGAGTTATTTCACGATACAGAAATTGTTTAAAATCCATACATAAATACCAGATTACATATTTGATTTAGATATTTCGATCCAAATTTCTCTACCAAATAATGTAATTCCTATCAGCACTACTCTACATATTTCTACTACTACATATGTACATTTCTCTTATTTTGTGCAGTTTCTAAGTTGTAGCTCAAAGCATTGTAAATTCGAAATACCAGCAGCATTTAGTGGAAGACCGCATCTAAATGTCAGTCTGTCAGGAATTGCAGTACAAATTCGATTCCTCATGTTTACGTGTATTAGTGAGGTATTTGTGCATGCACTGATACGCCTGAGAATCCGATCACACACATACACTAACACATACACGTGCAATATAGTTACTGCAGCGCAATATTTAGTGTCTGACATTTTCGGAGCAAAAGTAATACACTAAGCAACATTTCCACGTCTGTCACAGCTGTTACTGCAAAAATTGGCTGCTGTAGCATTGCAGTTCTTGCGCCTCTCTCTCCCATTCAATAACAACCCGCTACACTCTAATGGGATTTCGTTGAATTTTCACATCACTGAATTCACATTCGATTGGCATGGCGCTTTTGTTGCTCAACTCACTTCTCACCATTTCAGTTTGGGTAATGCAATTGTGTAAATTTCGTGAATTTCATTCGGTACTGCTTTGGGACGCAATTAGTTTATTGAACGCTGCAAGGGAAGCGCATTCGCTATCAGTGGATTGGTAGTAATACCATATAAGGACTATTGGATGAGCTCAGATCGATCTGTTTTAAATAGAATAACATAAGCTGTGACAAAAAATATATTTGCAATAAGACTATGGTGGAAAGTTTTGGAAATATGGAAACCGAGAGTATTACTTCGTCTATTTTTGCTAAGGTTAGGGCTCAAGAAAAGAAACCCATAATTAAAAAATAAAAATGAGCTTAAATGTCATTCACAATTGTCTACTTTTCCAGTGAGTTTGACATCTAGACTATAATAAATTCTAAATCTGTTTAAAATATACATATTACAAGCATTTATTATTTTGAAAGCATATGCGCAATTTCGTTATGGTAAGCGGCCTTATAGTTGTAGCAATCTTACGATAGTTCATATGACGATCTTACAATATCAGTGTCCGTACAGCATCAAAAGTGTCCGTAACAACAACTGAGTTGGAACGATCTTCACGAAATTTATCTTGTAATATCTACGACCTCGATGGAATTCAACATACCAACGATATACGATATTTGAAGGGTCTTCATCGCTTAAAATTGTATTAAGTGCAACGATGCGTGGTTGCTGGGTCAAAAGTCCACGTCAAAAGTTGTAAAAAATAAACGCGCTAAAATATTCGCGATTTAATTTAATTTTTTGGTCGAGATGAATATTTTAAGTTACTGTAAACAACACAAATAGCGCTCGTATGTCAAAACATTCTAAGTATGTATGTATAACATCACAAATGTCAAACTTTATGATAAAGTTGTGAGTTGCGCATAATAAATACTACAATGCTGTATACTAAAAAAAGTTGCACTATTTAAAAATTAAAGGGTTAAAATTTTGTGGAAAATTTGTGATTATTGCTAAAAAATGGATTAAATGCAAAAATACTAAATGAAAGCTGTACAGAGATTTACACTCTTAATCCTGGAATATTTTCCAGTGGCATATTGTGGCTGTAGATAATACAAAGCGGTTGCCGGATTTTATGCTTTAGCATGAAATGTACAAAACTTTAACGACGCACGCCCTCATACTTGCCACCACACACATACCGCTGTTGCTGCTGCTGTTGTTGTTGTGTTGTTCAGTAATTAGTTAACAACAATTTTTACAACTTGCGCTCTAAAAATTAATTCATGTCTATTTAAGCGCAATTTTGTTGCCCAATTTAATGGCATATTTACTCACACTCGCGCCGTAACTTGGCAAAACTTCAAGCTGCGCTCCACCATATGCGTAAATATGGCAGTCATGTGGCAGCGTTTAATTCCCGACGCTGTGTGCACTTGTACGCCTGCGAGTGCGTAGTTCTAAACTTTGTGATCTGCAATTACAAAGTTTGGCTACCTTTTTGATGAGTGGCTTTTGTGGTATGCGCCATGCTACACCCGCTCGCGTGCCACAACCAAAGCTAAGTATTTGATTTTAATTATACCGCAAAAACGACCGCTATATGCGCGTATATACTAAAAGATATAGAGATATATGTATACAGTTAGGCATTTGTGCTGCGGGAGCTCACCTTTCTTTCCCTTTCTCCAGTCTCGCGAAATTTATGGCTTAAAGTCTTAGCGGGTGAAAAGCGCAAAGTGTCTGAACGTACGTGCAGTGGTTCACCTGCGTGATTATGTATGAATACCATATATGTATGTATGTGTGTGTGCAATTTTGGCAGCTTTTCCTGCTTGAAACGTTATTCCGTGGTATCTAGACTTGTTGCGTGATACGTTTGTGGTTTGGTAATCTCTTCCATTTAAGAAGTGTTAGTATGTAATAGAAAAGCAAATTAGGAATTAATTTATGCACACACACATATACATGCAACTATTATTTAGCATTTGCATGCGCTGCACTTTGTTTAATTTGAAAAGTTTTTAATAGATTTCCGTACGCGTTTGCATTTCAGCGATATCCACTTATCCACCATGTATCCATAGTAAACCACTTGATAACTTACTGCATTGTAATTGAGTATTGTAATTGAGAAAGGTAATTTCTCATTTTGGTTTATGAGAGTGTCTGGGGCTTAATCGTTTCGATGAGAGGCACTTAATTAGCAGCATAATTGAAGGATATCCATTTTAATTGCATTTTGTGGGTGTTTTAGTGGTTAAATCAGACTGAATGTCTTACTAGTGATAAATAGAGATGCTGGTTTGCCAAGTAATTTGATTAAATATTAGTCGTTCTTTGAAAATGTCGACAGATAAATAAAATTAATAAAACAATAGCCAACTTTTCAACATAATTATATAATATTTAATTACATATATGATATCTATTTTATTTTATTTTCCAAAATAATATTTTTTCAAACATATTTTATGAGTTGCATTCTTTACACTACGCCACAATATTTACAGAGGCAACACATTTTTGATATCCATGGCAAATCAATCTACAACTCTGTAAACAGAACATTCTGATACAAAATTTTACGTTCTACAAAAATTTGATTTTTTCATAGAAAACATTACTTTAAAAGTTATACGCAGTTAAAAATATAAACCAAGTGTATTGAGTATTCACACAATGAATGTATTACATGTAAATTCTGTGTTACTCATACGACACGGTGTACTGTATGAATGCTCAGTACAGTTCTCGTATAAATTTAACTGCATATAACGTTTGATGGCATAAATTTGTGAGAAGAATCAACTTAATATTTTTTTAAGGACGCAAAATTTTGTTTAATATAATAGTTTCGAAGCTTTGGATTTGGCTTAATCACATGTTATATTATTGGAAAAAGTAACATGATTTAGGCACGGTTTAAATTGAAAATAAAGAACTTCTTAATCAATTTAGTAAGTCAAAAACTTAAACTTTAGGGAGCCTCAGCCAAAAACAGATCAACTTGGAAATTTATATAT